TCCATGTTTTACTCTGGGAGACCCGAAATAAATGTAAGATTAAAAAGTAAAATAAAAGGTCACAATGTCACAATGCAATAAAGAATATGTGAAAGTATCATTAAATCTTATTCAGTGGTATAGGAGGAATTGCGGACAGGAGTTGGATATACCTTTCAATATTACAAAGAATGGCAGTATCTATGTTTTTCTCAGGGAGCCCAAATTATGTACCAGATCCAAAAATAAAATAGGTGCACTTTGGCATTGTTAAACAAAGATTCTGTGAAAGACTCATTAAACTCTGTGAAGCCTCATTACACTTCATTCAGTGGTAGAAGAGGGGTTGCAGATAAGAAATGGAAACCCCAGAGCATATCAGACGGACGGACGTACAGCTAGACGGACGGACGGATGGATGGACAAACATCCCATTACTATATACCGTTTTTTTTTCCTGTTTTTTCAAGCAGGGGTAGAATAAGTCACGTTTACAATGAAGAAAACATCGAAGAGTGAATTTATAATAGTGTTTAAAATGGGTATTCGGAACTGGTAAAATAAGAGCACGAAAATATTTCGATATCTTCCAGTGTTCTAAATATTTATTTTTGACAAGTTTTTAGTATATGTTAGAGTACATATCAAACTTACTTTTGATACCTAGAACGTTGTTTTATGTGAAAAATTTATGCATCTACAGAGGTTTTTCTGCAGACTTCCGCGTCGCGGTGATCCAGATTTGTTGCATTGTAAAAGTATGTCGACTGTTTCAAGTACGATAACGAAACCAAACTGAGGGCAAAAAATCAAAACTTCACGTAATTCAAACACTCATGAATAAGCCTTCTTACCATAGAAATCAATTTATCTTTACACCGTTGAATTTATTAATTATCAGTCCTTAAATTACTAATTATTCGGAACTGGCCAAAATCCGGAACTGGCCAAACGACTGTATGCATATAGGAACTATCTCCAACAAAATAAATTTGTCTCATTGCCATATAGTATATACATGTGGTTTACTATGGTAACGTGTGTGTCAAAGTGAAAGACGTTGGCTGTATTTTTTCCTTCCTGACCAAAACATGCTCAAGATAAGATTTTTAAAAAATCACGAAACCAGAACTGGTCCAGTTCCTAAAGTTTATTTTTTTTTTTAAAAAGTAAGGCTCATTTTTTGAAATGATATTCATGGCTTTGTTTGAGTTTCATGTTTATAACTCGGCACTTATTCAGAAAAGTTTCCTTCCTGAAAAATAAATCAGTTCCTTAGCTTACTGATTCCACTTTAAAGATTGAATGTTTGTGGTCAAAAATGGGGGGGGGGGGTTCAGCCCCAAACCCCCAACCCCTGATACTGCGTGCATGCTCCACAATTAAGATTTAACATCTAAATATTAAGAAAAGTGGACTTAAAATTTCGAAACCAGTATGTATCCGACTTGAAATTGTACATGTCAGACTTTCACCGAATCTTACGATGGTGTTGTTAACACCTATTGAATCTTTGTATTACAGGATATCAAAAGGAGAGGATATATTAGACTGCATTTGTGAAGATGAGGAGATTTATATGGTTTGCAGTAAGACTGCAGAGTATGTGAAGAAAAGTATTCAAAGAGGAAAAACAGCTGCATTGTAGGGACAATACCTCGAAATGGTAGAGATTTTGAAAGCTTTTATGAAGGCAGAGCGGACTGGGAATCGGCAGTTCCATTTAGCAACTGTTGCTAGAATGCTCCCATTTCTAACTGCTGCAGGACAAAATTTGTATACAAAGTAACCATTTGTCTACCTTACGGATATGCAAACCCTCCCTAAGAAACATGCTGATGTTTATCAAAAATTCTTGGACGGACATCATACTTTGCGTCGAACAGATTGCAATTGGACAGGACTTTCCTCGGACCTCGTTATTGAGCAAGTTCTAATGAGAAGCATCAAGTCTTCCGGGGGCTTAACAAGAGGAGAGGGATGACAAAAACCCAACGTTTACAATGGATTCTATCAATGCCAGCTTGTGCAGGAGCCAGTAATGTAATGAACAAAGTAAATTATTCTGGATTTGTGACAAGTGAGCAACACAAAGAGGCAGATGATACAGGAATGAAAAGAGACAGGGAAGACATTTTGACAACGGTTTCCTTTCTTCAGGAAACAGACACCTTTGAAAGCAGTTCTGCACTCCGAAAAATTGAAACAGGGGTAACGACAGACAAAAATGTGAAGGTAGATCAGACCAAAACCATTGGACAGGCCATTATTGATTCAATGATTAGAGAATCTATACTCAGATACTCATTCAAAAGATCCAAACAAGTTGTTCTCATGAACACAAAAAACTTTATTAAAGTTGACATTGAGCCTGTGCAGATTGATCCCCAGTTACTTTTTAAAAGTTTAGCATCAGCAGCAAACAACATGGGGGAATATCTTGCAAATGTTCTTTCATATGAGCTATCTAGTGTACCACCATTACTCTTTGACTCCAAAGGATTAATGAGAGAGTCCCACAAATCAGCACTTTCGGAGTACATCGGGAACCTGGGAGACTGTCAAGCTGTTGGCATTACGGAAAATTTGACGCATGTTGTTGATGGTGGTAATCTATTGCATCGAGTTCCATGGATGAAGGGAGAGAGACTTGATCAAATTTGCTCTCGGTATTTTGAGTATTTGCAAAAAAGGTACCAAAATGTCGTCATCATTTTTTATGGTTTACACTTGCCAACCAAGTACCAAGGACATGGCGCATCTGACAAGATCTAAAGAATACATGCAACAGAAGTTTTCTTTGATTTGCAAACTCCATTTAAGTCTCGCAAAGGTGTATTCCACACACACACACACACACACACACACACACACACACACACAAAACGATTTATTAATCTTCTTGGGATATGCTGGAGAAATCTGGATGTGATGTCTTGTATGCAGAAGGTGATGTCTACCTTAAAATAGTCCAGACAGCAATCTCATTATCTTCTTAAAAAGACGTCATAGTAATTGGATCAGACACTGATATATTGATTCTCCTGACACATTTTTATGGCTCAGGACTTCATGATATGTATTTCGGAGATGATTTCAAAATAGACATAAAGTGCAAAGTAAGGGATATAAGGAAGATAAGAAATATCATAGTTGATGATGCAGCTCTTTTTCTTCCTGCCATACATGCACTAACTGGATGCGACACTCCTTCCAGGATGTTCGCCATAGGAAAAGCTGTTGCATTTAAGAAACTAAAAGTTTCTGATCATTACAAAAAAAAAATTCTTAGAATTTTCTCGTGCATTACATCCAGTAAAGAACAAGTTCTTGATGCAGCTGGACCTGAAGCTGTCTCTTGTCTTTCCGGAGGCCCTCCTAAATAATGAAGGGTTGGATATTCTGCGATACAGGAAATTTGGAACAAAACTTGAAGCTGGACCTATTGCAATTCGGAGTCAAAACTTACCACCAACACCAGATGCTGCATCTTTCCATATAATGAGAGCATTTCATCAAACGCATTATTGATTGGTAGGGACAAATTTACCTGAAACGGAATGGGGGTGGTACCTGTCATCTGAAAGCCTTTATCCAATCAAAACTAGCAAAGCCCCAGCTCCTGCAACTCTCATACACGAAAACATCTAAACGGTAGATACAACCTTTGTTTTTCCGGCACTTATATTGTGCAGTCTTTTCTTGTAGTTTAATTGTCATATCTTAGCTAAATACTCATAATTTCTATGTCTTTCTCTGTGTGCTACAGATATCATAAAAGAAGCACATTATAGTTTGACTCATTGTGTTACTTTAAATGACTGGACTAAGAAGGTCCGAAAAACTGTCCGACTTTTGCTGCCTCCCCCCAAAATAATATCCATCTCGTTCAAACGAAATAATTTTCTCATTATTTATGGCGTGCCAAACGTTGCATTTCCATTTGTATTGTATGGTTTTTCATTTGTATTCTGTAACTTTTATTTGTATTGTAATAATTTTTATTTGTACTCTTTGAATACTATTCTATAACTTTCCATTTGTATTGTATTACCGGGTATTTTTATTTGTACATGTATTCTGTAATTTTCCATTTGTATTCAATAAGTTTTCATTTGTATTGTATATTTTTTATTTATATTCTATATAATTTTCCATTTGTATTCTATAAATTTTTCATTTTTATTGCATAATTTTTATTTGTATTGTATGATTCAACGAGTTAGTCATCTTGTTTCAATGAGTTTGTTCTCTCGTCATAGGAAGATAATTATTTCGATAAAATAAGCTTATTGAAAATGATTTCAACCTTTGTGTTCAGAGCGTTCCTTTGCATTTCTCGAAGTATATCTTCCTTTTTAGTTATGGATGGTCATTAATCACCACTGCCATGTCCTCCCATTGGCGACTATCGAGGTTGAAAATGGTTCATTGATTTTCTTGGTCTTAATGATCGAATTATGATTATTTTGATTCTTCTCGAAAATAATCGGATATATCCCGATTCACCAACACACAAATTGACAGGACAAATTACCTAGAATTTTGTAGTTGCGGTCTATCTGTATCAGGGTTGTGCTGACAGAGAAGACATCTTCTATCAGAACAATTTAAAAGCTCTCCCTATAGGTAAAGGTTTGTCTAATCTGGTTCTTACTAGCATATCCTATAATTTAGTCTCCAGTAGGCAGTCAATGAATCTTCCTCAATTACCTCTGTCATTCATCTGATGAAATAAAATTGGCAGGTTCTTTCTAAGAACACCGTTTAAGAACAGGCTGGTATGTGGTTACCAGTGAAACCCTGCTACTATTGACTATCTCTCTTTGGTCCAAAATGTAAGGCCCGTAGGTATATACCAGTATATCCTTAAATGCGTGTGGGGAATGAAAGCCTGTCGGCTTGAGATACAAGTGTGAATCGGTAGGTTTCGTCTGGAGGCGGAAACTTGAAACTTACAGACCAAAGAGAGAAGATCAGCAGTCACTATAAAGTATACGTGTCAACATGGAAAGAAGGCATTTCATAATAAACACTCTTTATTTGAACACTATCAGGGGAAAACCCCAGAGGCTTTGAAAATCAACAATTTTTGTCATTCACAATACTTAGTGCAGCCACTGAAGCAACGCTTGCCTTTGACCCATTCCATGATAGGGCTGACGTCACAATGGTTAGGATCTGTGTTGATGCAGTCTTCTAGATTGAAATTCTTCACTGCGCATGGATTCATGCAATTCTTTCCTGTAAGTGAAAACAAAAGTATTAAACATATTGTAATAGTATACCGGTAAAAGATATGTATGGTTGGCTTGGGAATCGAACCCGGGACTTCTGCATCATGTTGTAGTCATGTTTATCATGGACCCATGATATGGGTATATCATTGGCTGTACATGGCGGTGCACTTTTATGTTGTTAAATTTAGTGCATTTTCCGGTAGTTATAGTCAAAAATGTCCCTGACTCCCAGCCCTCGTGAATGTTCAATTGGTTATAGGTGACATTTATTTTTTTTGTTTTGAGCTCATTTATTGTAACCATCAGCTAGGCAAATCAGAGACAATAAAACGTATTAAAACATTGGTTTTTTAAGAAAAATATTTCAACACCTATTCTTAATTAATGTGTAAAAGAAATCGGATGGTTTAATGCAGTAAGAAACGTTTATAACGAACTTCAATTCATAATATATTTTAATGCCATGGGAAATGGAAATCACTTTGCTTTGTCAAAACATTAAAAGCTGGTTCGATATAAGTGTGTTTTACTGTATACTGATCTACAAGTAATTTAAAATTCCCCGTTTGAGGTGTAACTTTCGAGAGGTTCTTCGTAAATTAATACTGAGTATACCATAGACTGTTTTACTATTTCGTCTATTCAAATTGTTTTAATGAATAGCGATTACAACAAAACAGATAAATAAACAATAAAATCACTAGAAATCATTGAAAATGTCAAAGTGAGATAAGATAAAATGTCTTACTAGAGCACTTTCTGACACATCCACGGAAACACCCGAAGCCGTACGGGTCGATGACGTAGCTAGGCTCCACCACACAACAAGGGGCGGTGTTCCAGCAGGCCACCAAATCCTGCTGTTTTACTGGAGGACACGCTTCATCTGACATTTATAAATGACAAATAGCATCTATTTAAGGACAGAGAAAATGGGCAAATCCTGGATTTTGCAAAGAAGGACATAATGAGCATCGATTGGACACGATCATATTTGTTTGTGGTATTATCATAAAACTGTTATTAACTAGTGCTAATTGTAACGGGGACCGTTACAGATGTTCCCCAAACGCTCCCCAACTCCCTTTTGGTGCCATATTCCCTGTAAGCTTCATTAAATAAGACCAACTTTATGCATTTGAGACTTTAACAACGTTTACCCAGAAGTGTACCAAGTTCATTCAAATTTTAGCATTGCACGCATGTGAATGCATATGCGTAATGACCATATCATCTTGTCTACACAATCTATATACTTTTATATACTAAATATGAAAGTATTTAATCCAAAAGTATTAAAAAATACGCTCATTCAAGTGTAGTTTTTATTTTACTCATTTCACGTGCACGCACGTGCATACATGAGCACGGTACCATACCTTCTTGTAGAAGTCCATTAGATCTATCTATATGTTCTAAATCCCACCCCGTTTGTTTGAAAACAAAAAGTTTTAAAGTTTAAGCCAATCAGATTGCAGCGCACGTATACACACTTGTATGCATGTGCATGATGACCATACCTTATTATAGAAGTCCACTATATCTATCTATGTTCTAAATCCCATCCTGTTTGGTGAAAACCAAGGGAGTTATAGCTATTTAAAGTTTAAGCCAATCAGATTGCAGCGCACGTGCATGCACGTGTTTTCACGATAATTGCTATATATCATGTTGTAGGATATCCTAATGCATGGCTATGTTCAAAATTTCAAAGGATTTTGTCAAAAAACTAGAAAGATATTGATACTTTAGTTTCAGCCAATCAGAGGGAAGCGCACGTGCATGCGCGTGAAATCTTGCTATTTTGACCATGTCATAATGTCTATGCTACCTATATATCCTTATATTATGGGTTTCAAAGCATTTCATCAAAAATGTAAAAAGTTACGCCTATATCAAATAAATCGGTCATTTCACGTGTTGCATGTGCACGCTCTTGCAAGCACGTGCGCGCAAAATGACCTTCGTTCCGCAAATCTACATATTAACATGCCTACTGACCCTAAAAAGATT